TACTACTATACTATATATATATATATATATACTATACTACTACACTACTACACACTACACACTACTACACACACACACACACACACACACACACACACACACACACACACACACACACAATATATATATATATATATATATATATATATACATATATATATATATATATATATATATCGATATAAATGTCTAACTAGTGTGTACTGAATTATCTGCACGTTTTTGTCTGGTGTACGGTCTTGGGATAAAATAATAATTGAAAGATTGAAGAGTATGTTAACGAATATATATTTCCGCAATGCTTCAATTTGCCACGTGAACCTTCATATACGAGAATACTGTGAACAGTTACCTATTATTTTAACTTCATCATGATTACACGAGCACTAATTGATACTTACCGATACATTTTCTGGCACGTGCATCTGAACTCAACCGGACAAGGATCGTTCTGTGCGCCTTTAGTACAATATCGTCGTTTTGACCATCGATTGGATAGTCATTGTCAAGATACTGATTATCACGTTGAACTTGAAGGGTGACATCGCCAATCTGCGCATACAAATGTATTGATATGGATACGAAGCTGTGATCAATGAGTGTATGGTTTGCTACAGCGTAGACCACCGCATCTTTTGACGAGTATCAAGTCGGTGCACCTTGACAATCGATCCATGAGGTTATAAGCAACGTCTTTAGAATACACTGATTGATCTTTTTAAATGATCGACTCACCTCGCGTGGACATTTGACGAGCGCGACTATAGCCTCAAGGTAATCTCCAATCACCACACCCTCTTCAAAATCAAATGAAACGCTTTTGCCTGGATAGACCTCATTGAAAGGGTCGCTGTCATCCAGCAGCCGCAAGGAGAGCTTCATAGTGATATAATCAGATGTTTTCTTCTCTGAGCCAGCGCATAACCCGTATTATATATCTGGTGTATACATTGGTACCGATATCTACTTTAAATACGGCGTACTTCTCTTTGTTTCAAATTAAAAAAAAGTATAAAAAGTTCAAGGTGTATCGAAATCCTCTGGATTTTTTAGGTTGCCAAAAATTGAGGTGAATCAGCTGATGGGTCTGGATAAGGCGAGCTATATTTATTGGTTGTGCGCTTCGCACTCAGACCGATGAGCGAGTCATCAGTGGCGACTCGAGTGTGTGACTGGGGTAGTGCGTCATCAAATGTACTTCTACTACTGAGTGTAGAGAGTAGAGCGTAAATCGATTCAAAACCCTGACTTTTTTTAAATAGCCTTACAATCGAGAAATGTAAGGGTTTTTTTGTAAAAAAAACAGAATACAAACACTTACCCGTGGCTTGACGAATGACGATTGAGTGATAAATGTAAATAATTAAATATTTGCATAGCCTCATCAATTTAGGAGGCTACGATGTTGGCACCCGCCAACTGTCCTATGATTTGTATATGTATTTTTACATAGCCTTCAGAAAAAGAACACTAAAATATGACGTGATACATAAATAAACATATACTTACAAAGTACATACCCGTTTCAAGAGCTTTATCACGACGTTATACTATTTACAAGACGTCAAGTGGATTTTACAACATGTCAGAAACATTCTTACCCGTGTTCACCGCCCCGGAGAGCGATGCGGTAGTGCATGGTCGCGAGGCTTCCTCCACACCAGCATCTCTAATAGACTTCGACAGCGTGTCTGCTGGTTTCTGCACTGTATTGCATATGCATCAGCCCTCAATCCCTTGTGGCAAAGACGGTACAGTTATCAGTAATCTGCAGTACATGTTTGAGCATCCAGAGGTACAAGATGCGCATAATGCAGGTCCCTTCCTGGACTGTTACGGGCGTATGGGCGACATCATACCTCGTCTAATCCGCCAGGGCCACAATCCACGTGTTAGTCTAGACTATTCTGGCACGTTGTTGTGGGGCCTGCAGCAGATGCACGCTACTAACAACGGCGTCTTCGACAAGCTGAAGCGCATCGCCAACGATCCCCAGTACATTCCGCACGTAGAATGGTTGGGTACCTTCTGGGCCCATGCAGTTGCAGGTAGTGTTCCTGTCCCCGACATTGAAATGCAGATTGTGAGTTGGAAGCACCACTTTGCATCTATATTCGGTGCTGAGGCTATGCAGCGTGTGAAAGGGTTCTCTCCACCGGAGATGCAGCTACCTAACCAGCCTGACACGCTTTATGAGCTGGTGAGGTCTTTAAACAAGCACGGATACAAGTACATGCTCGTGCAGGAGCACACGATAGAGACCATACCTGCCGATGCGGACGACCAGGCCACTCATATACGCACGCCGCATCTGCCACACGTGCTTGTGGCGCAGAACAGTGCTGGCGAGGAAGAGAGGATTGTTGTTCTTGTCAAGACACAGGGCTCGGATACTAAGCTAGTAGGCCAAATGCAGCCGTACTATGAGGCTAAGACCCTCTCTTGTATGGAGGTCGGTGGGGTCTCGATTCCGCCTCTGGTGACACAGATCGCTGACGGGGAGAACGGTGGGGTAATGATGAATGAGTTTCCGAGTGCCTTTGACAGAGCCTGGGAGGATATTCGAGACAACAAGGCTTACGTGGGAATCAACGGCAGTGAGTATCTACGCTACATCTTTAGCAAGGGTGTGAGTATGACCGATCTGCCCCTGTGCCAGGCCAAAGGCCAGGCCAAGTTGTGGGCGTATGTTGGGAAGATCGGCAAGGAGAAAGTGCCTGACACTGAATCACACGAGAGTGTAGATGGCAGTAAGACCACGGAGGGTGCTACTACAGTCAGCGAGCAGAAAGGTGCCGCGACTGGTCTGTTAGGTTACGTGTCGGGTATGATCTGGGGCAACTCGGACGAACCAACTGGCACAGATAGCGCGCAGCAGGATACGCAAACGCCAGATATCATCGATGACGGTGGGGGACGGAAAACAGGGTCCAACCAGAGTAGTGCTATTTATAGCAGACACGGATTGGATTCAGGTCTGTCTGCCGATGAGTGTCGGGAGGCAGTCACACAGGCCATCAAGGCGCTGTCTGAGTCAGATCATGAGTTCCACATGGAGGGTGCCAGCTGGACGAATGAGCGCAGCTGGGTCAATGGCTACCAGAATGTGACAGGGCCAATGCACGAGCTGAGTGCTAAGTTCCACTCTCGTGTGAGCGAGTTCAATGCGGAGCATGGAGATGCGACTCTGGAGAAGGACGAGAGGTACCAGATGGCTATGTTGTATGTGATGCTCTTGCAATGCAGCTGCTTCCGGTACTGGGGTCAGGGCGATTGGCCAAACTATGCGCGAGAGCTGTTTCGCCGCGGTGTTCTTGTGCTAGAAAAGCCATTCGGAACCCCCATTGATGTAGTCGGGTTTTCTGCTGCTGGGGGCCAGGTGACGGAAAGCTAAGGTATATGTCAATAGGGGTCGTATTGAGAGTGCCGGGCTGCTAGGGAGAGTGTAGGTAGGTAAGTAGTAGGTGTATATAATCATAGTTTAGGGTGCGAAGGAACGATCCGTAACTAGTGTTGCGTTGTAGCGGAAGGTGCCTTAACGATTTGCACGCTGCTTTAATGTCACTGTTGTATGGTTGCTTATATTCCGTGTGAAATGGAAGCGCTTCTTGCGAAAATTGAGCAAGTATTATTCGAGTTTTTTTTTCAAGCTGCAAAGACCGAAACGGCCGGCGTTTTGTAGCTATATGACATCTAAAATTGAATGAAATGAATATGGTCGAATAAAGTGCGATTGATGAAATAAATGTTGATGCGAACATATTGAATTCCCGGCTCCAGTGAACTTAAAATCGAATACAATCCCAATACTTCCGTCACAAACGCGTTTGGTAGAATTTATCCGATAGTGATACAAGAATTGGGAGAAGTCTGGTTTGCGTGTCTTCAGGAGTCACCATTCCAATGTAGGAGATGGACGCTGACAGACATCTTCCAGCGGAATGATTGTTCATTCTCAAACGAAAAGGGATAGGGTCGATCAATACCATTCCTCACATTGACATTTGAAAAGAGCAAAGCAAAACTGATAGTCGTTTGGAAAAGGTCTGCGCTACACTGACGATCATCTTCTAGTTTCAGTAAACAATGTTGTTGTCTCGTCGAAGATCAGAATGTGGTGCAACTGATTGGCCTTATCTGTGGATGAGACTACATTGCAATTACGTAACTTTGATAGCTATTCCTGATTCAAGTTGACAAGAACGTATGTACAAGTCATTGGTATTTTAAATGTGTGTAATTTGCGATGTGGTGTATATCAAGATCAGTAGCGGTCGCAGCTATAGGTAAGTAGTCTTCGACTTCCAGAGGGGCAAACACAGCCATACTATATAGCTTTATATTTCACACCCTGGTTTGAAAGCAGTTATGAGTTTGAGGGATAGGTACAGTTGTGATGCCAATTATTGCTATTAGAAGCAAACAGTTGCAAGGCGCATACCACGAAGACTTATTCACACCGAGTAACCCCTGATCCATTTCCGTGATTATTCTCTTGTGTATACGCACGGATCGCATACACAATTGGTCACAGGGGGAGCTGCTTAACACGAGGGAAATGCTTTGAGCTGAAACAAAAAATATAGTCTCTAATCTCGCCATGATCCAAAAGAAGTAGATAATACGTATATACCTTTTTTCATTTTCAGTGTAGCAGGAGAAACTTTTCCTGTTGCTTTACTACTGTATCTAGTACTGTCATGTTTATATATGCTCTTACAGATTGATGAAGTACCCAATTTTTCCCGTCCGACAGTAAAATTCACAGAATTCTTTACAGACGTTCATAGATCCAGCTAGTGTTCACATGTGGAAAGCCGTGGTAATTTCTGAAAACAACTGGGCTGTTGCGGAGACGGTAGTCGTGTACTGAACATTTGTTTGCTTGTACACACAATACCAAGTGCACAATGCTTAACTAAAGCAAGTTTACGCATTTGGGTTCTCGCAAGGTGCGCAAACACACTACCCAGATACGTCCCGAGAACAGAAGTATGCGTATGCACAGAACTCTGTTGTAATTTATGACAGGCACATTAGAATATTCCCATCATTAAGTCATCTAAAGTACCGCAGTAGCCCCTGCTCACTTGCGGCCTTTTCCTTTTCGTACTCGTAATCGCGTCTCTCTTTAAGTGTTGAGCCGCTCCAATGCCACATTTGATTACGGGGTTTGTAATTTTTGGCCAACTTACATGTCCATAGAATCACAGGCGCGTTATAGTGTTGGTGTTCTACATCCATACACAACTCTGCGTCTTGGTTGAAAATCTGGCCGTCCAAGTTGTAGCCCAGAATCCATTTCTGTGCAAATGAATGGTAGTCACAGGGTTCTAGATTCAACTGCATTCCCAAACGATCGTCACCTTTCGCCTCCTGATCAGAGAGAGAGAGGCACATATGATCGTGCGTGCGTATGACAAAAGTGTCTTCGTCAAAGGTAATATACAATACGTCGTCCGAACCACAACTACCAGTACGCACAAGATTGTTCTCGTCTTTGATCAGACATTGTGGTCTCAACGCATTCTTAAGACGTCGGTGTCCACTGTTTTCAAATGAAAAGGTTAATCCTTTATCCACAACTGTTGTAAACGCCATCGGGAGCGAATCGGGATCCAGCCCGTTGTCACTATTGTGTATATCGTCGGCGTACGGCTTCTTTTTCTTCATCAATTTCCGAATATACGGCCAAGATTGTATGACACCGGCAAGTAAACACGTCAAGACGACAAATAATGTAAGTATCAGGGATGCCTTCTTGCATTTCGACATATGTGAGTTTCCACCGCTTAATTGTTCGCTACTGGGACCCTTTGAGGTCTCTAATCCGACACGTGCATCGTTTGTACGTGTGTCGCCCACAGCGTTGCCGACGGCAGCGTAGCTGTCATCATCGTCTGTGTTGCTTAACCGCGTGTATACCTCGTCACTCATTGCTCAGGTGTGTGATCTGGTGCAAGATGTGTCATGAATCTATCTATCTATATATATATATATATTACACTTCAGGCATATACACGTAAAGATTCTGTGACATCATGATATGACTCTCTCTCTCTCTCTCTTTAGTATAGGTCCGAGCCGTCGAGTACAGAGGATATACATACAATTATATTTTTAAATTTTTTACATCATTCACACTGATATTGTGATAAGGTGGTTCTATTTTTATCCTGCAATAACAGCCAAGTCTCACATAACTTTACAGCCAATGGGGAACAGAAGCCATTTGTTAAATAATATTATGTACATGTATTTATTGTATATTTTATATATATTAAAACCTATTGACATCTTCACAAAAAAACTCCCAATAAGTCGCTTTCCAAACCCGACTCCGAAGTCCGAACTCCTAACTAAGAAGTGGCCAACTTCAAGAGGGCAGGAGCTAAGGCAAGGCAGTCTATAGAAGTATTATAGAAGACAGCATACAAACTACTTGTATATCACTGTATTGCTGTGGGGGGTGAGCAGTTACACATCCTCTGCTATTGATAAGCTAAATACTGACAAGCACACTGCAATGAAATATCGAAGACAGCGTGAAGACAGCGTGAAGACAGCTTGAAGACAGCGTACAAACTACTACTGCAATGAAATGTCAGCCGAACATATGATATGAACTATCGCACATTGTGGTAGTGTAGTAATCTTATCTTCATATTGTATCTTCCACGACTCGTCAAACTCAGAGTAGGATATCTCAGACGTTTGCTTGTTCCTTTTAGGCCATCCCTTTCCTTATTAGTTGCTTTCAAAATGTCTAGCCTAAGTTTGAAGAGTGAACCTTCAGTAACAGTGGAAGATGATTCACCAAACGAGCCCGAAATTAAACGAAGGACAGTTCAGTGGGCGGCCTATAACAGACAATACCCTGCCCACGCCGCTTCAAGGTACCCATCCCGCTATCTGTGATACAATTCAATGCCTGCATGTACCCGTCTGGATTTATGATGTTGAGATTTCG